ATGCTAAGCACTTTATGTGCTATAATAAAGAAGTTTTCATTTCATCCCGAAGGTGATGAGAACCATTGATGGGATTAAAGAAAGAAAAAGATGTCATCAGAATTTGTGGAGGATAAATTGTGGATGAATAAGTCTATTGGCAGAAAACTTAGTTTGGAATTTTTTTATATAGTTCAAATAATGAGGGCTTAACAGTAGAAATGAATGCTAAATATTCCAGCAGCATTCCAGCTAGATATTATAGGGCATAATGATTAGATGGATGGAATGGGATAGAGAAAGGAAAGACTGATATATGGCTATGGTATCAGGTATGAGATACAGGAAAGAGGAGTTGGAGGACTAAGTTTAGAGTTTAGCTGTGTTGTATTTGACCTAACCTGGTGATATGGAATAGGTAATGGTATGTATTGGAATAAAGTTCGTTGCCATCAAATCATAACTGGATAATAGCTGCCCCTCTCGTGGGTTTTCAGAGTTTCTGTATCACATGGGAGGGAAGAGATTACCTAGCTGTCTTCTGCAGAGCAGCTGGTAGATTTGAACTGCCAGCCTTTGGGTTGGCAGCACAACTCCTTACCCACTAGGCCACCAGAGCTTCCGTGGATTATGGAGAGTTCAAAAATTTGAAGAGTAGACAAAAGCTGACTCGTGAGATGGCATAGTGGGAAAACAATGTGAAAGACATTGAGAGCCCAGGTCAGATTAAAAACCTGCATCTATTCATCTGTTCTGTCTATCCATTGGTGGAATTTGTCAAGGCATGATATGTATCTACAACTGAGAAGAATGAACAAAATGTATGTACATTCTCTCTTCATTTGCTATCAAGCTGATTTTCATTCATGGTGACCCATTGCGTGTCAGGGTAGAATTGTGTTCCGTAGGGTTTTCAATGGTTGATTTTTTTCCTGAAGTAGACAGTCAGGCCTTTCTTTCGTAGTACCTCTGGATGGAGTTGAAATTCCAGCCTTTCATTTAGCAGCTAAGTGCTTTAACTGTTTAAACCACCTAAGGACTCCTTAGTGTACCAGGAGAACTTAGTTATTTCTCGTTTCGGTGGGCATCAGAGAAGGCTGCCCACAACTGTGCTTTGGTGAAGTAACTGGATTTTATCTTGTGAAAAGAAGATGCAAGATGTCTCATGGCGGTGGCCAATGGAATAGACTGAATAAATAAGCGTATGGAGTTTTGAATATGTGACCTACTTGGGAAACAAGGGTTATTGTGGGAAGGAGAAAAGTGGAGGGGAATTTTAGGATTGGGGCCAGATCATGGGGAACTTAGTCAATAAATTAGTATTTATTCTTTAAGCACTGTGGGGAGGTCTGCGGAACAGAAGGAAATAGTCCAAGTAACTTTGACATGGTATGTAGAATATATTTAAGATAATGGAGGGAAAGAGGAACATTTTTAAATTTAATTAAAAGGTCAGTTAAAGTGTGCCTTGCCTAATTTTCTTATTCACAGGGAACTGAGTGTTCTGGGGGATGTAGGGAATAAATAGAGAAGAGATAATTCTCCATTCCAGGAAGTGTCTCTCTCATCTCACCCACCTTCCTGCAGCTGAACTATTTTAGAGGATTCCTAGTCCACAGTTCATTCTTCTTTCGAGACAGGTCTACTAGTATCGTAAATGGTTTGAAAAATCAGGAATTGGATTAATTTCTTGAAGCTCATCTTCTACTTGTGGTGTCTCTGAGTCTCCAAAAGGAGATAGAAAGATAGTGGAGGTGAGCTGATAGACTTAGGTATATGGGCTTTCCTTAGAGGGGAACCTGTGTAGCCTTATTTCACATGTCTAGTAGTAATAGCTAGTGTAGTTACTGATAAATAAGAGAGTAATCTCTAGATTTTGTTCTTCTCCCTCTGTAGGACTTTCTTGGGTCCTTCTAGAAGTGACATTGTATGAAGAATATTGCCTTAGATTTGATAGGTAATCAGAGACTGAATTGCAGTTTATGTTTTATCATCCGCAGTTTATCAGCTTGAATAGTTTGTTGGATTAACAGTACTGCTTCTATGGCCCTAACAACCCTGGCCGTGGATGTAGACCACATTTGAAAGGGGTAAAGGATGACTGAATCCCCAGGAAGACTTTGTCTTGATTTGAGTAGTTCCTGCTACAAAGAAGGGATCAGCAAAGACAGGCAGTAAAGATTCTGGGAGCCAGTCAGCCAAGCTCTTTGAACTCTCCAGTTCTTCTAGAGGACCTCTCCATCTCCTTGGGGTTTAGCTGGGTTTTCTTTAGGTTCTTTGCTATAGGACTAAATCTAATAACCTCTCTGCCCTCTTTTTCTGCTCTTTCTCTCCTTGCAGAAGGAAAGCCAGGAGCCCTTCAGGTTATGCATTGGGCCTTGGGCCCTTTTTTTGCTGTCTATTCACCCCTCCCTCCTGAGCACGGGTGTGCGTGTGTGCATGATCTATGCTTCTGAGTTCTGACTCATCCAGGCAGCCCATTTTCCCTGAAAGCTGTTTGTGTGCATGTTCCATGCTGTGTGTGCTTCTGCAGACCTCCAGGGGCACAGCGGGAGGATGTGTGCTGGCATGGGTGTGCAGTCAGCGTCGCATGTGTGTGCTGCTTTTACCTGGTTTGACTGCCTCAGATGGTGATGTCCCTCTTCTCCCCCTACTTTGCTCAGTGTGTGCCCATTTTCTACCTGTTGCTGCAGACTGGCATATCCAGTGAGCCCTTGTTGAGCCAAGCATGCATGCATACTTTGTATTTGAGAGCAGGAGTTGCTGCAGGCAATTTGTCTCTTGCCTGAGGCGCTGATGGTCAGTATGCTTTGTGCTTCTGAGCAGACTTCCTGGCTTCTCTGGACATAGCTCTCTGGACCTGTTGAGTGGTTTCTCCTATGCATGTGAATGCAGAGTATACTAATGCTCTGTGCTTGTGAGCACTGGTTCTTGGAGACAGTGAGGACTTGCCTAGTCTGTGATTAGAGGCTCTAGTGAATGCTATGACTTCTTCCCGAGATAGATGTGTGCACTTGGCTTGCAGTCATTAAGTGCAAGATTCATACTCACCTTGTGTTTCCTTCAGAGCACAAGTTGTGTGTATGAATCCACTTCCTAGACTTCCTTCCACTTCCCCATCCCTCCTTCAGCACCGTGTGTGTTCATGCTCTGTGTTTATGTGTGTAGGCTCCTGCAGACATGGTGTCCCCTGCAACCACGTTAACTATTCATGAAATGAACCTGTGAGCTCTGGTTCCCAAAGACGTGTGTGTGTGTGTGTGTGAGAGAGAGAGAGTCTTTATTTAGGCCCACTTGTTTTTGACAAAAATTTAATACTGAGCAGGAAGTAAGAATATGCTCAATACAGGTGCTATTTTTCTAAGGGAAGGTAAGTTCTTGTTGGTAGGATACAGAGATTAAGAGATGAACATCCCTCACAAAAAATCTTAAGAGATATGTAGCTTCTGTTCTTTCCCACCTACTGTTGTTTCTTATACTGTACCCTTTTTCTTCTGGGGCAGTCACTTCTGGCTGCCTTTTGAGTCTGGCTTCCCCTTGACCAGTATCATGCCACCCAGTAAGCAGATGAGATGAGACAGGCATGAAGGGCTGTCCAGAGTTCATCTTGTACCTTCTGCTTGCCCACATAATTCTTGCTTGCTTTTACCTCGCCCTGCACCCTATCTTGTCTGCCCATATTCTGCAGTGTCTTGCTTTATTCTGTTCATAATTTGTCCCATGTTTAGTTCTCCCAGAAACAGCACCCTCTGTTTAACACTGGTAGCTGACTTCTGCCTCCTTGGCCCTGAATCTCATTTGTTCGAGGATAATTAGCTACATACAGCCCAAGTCTCAGGATACAGAGAAGTTGTTGGAATGTTGGGGTACAAGGAGAAGCGTAAGGTTCCAAACCTGGTAGCACTAAGATCTGTTGAGCCTCAACGTTTTTGCCTCTCTGGAAAGTGCTGGCAGTTTTGAAACTCTTCTATGCAGACTGCTTAAAGGGGTTGCTTTTCTTCTCAGCTTTTGTCTTTGCGTGTGGAAACCTTAAAAAATGGGTTGTGTTTGTTTGCTTTTAACCCAGTGCCTCCCTAAAGTTACTTGGTGGTGCCTCAATTTTGAACTTGTTAGTCAAGTCTTATAAAATTCATCAGAACAATATCCCAAATATCTAATCTGCCTTGGGCTATCTGGTTATATACTTTGTCAAATGCCTAAGAGATGATCCTAGTCCATAGGGAGTTGTATTGCAACTCAAAGGCTGCAGGGGTCTGGTGGTTCTAATCCTCCAGCTGCTCTTCAGGAGAAAGATGGACAAATCTTCCATGCAATTTACAGCCCTG